GACCATGTTTGATTAGAGTAAAACTAAATATTGACAATACTATAATTGGTAAACGAACTCATTTCCACTCACTAGTTTCCTTAAGCGACCAGAGACACACTGAGATCTCTCCTCTTTCTGTCTTCACCAATGGCGTTTTCCTCCTCTTCTTCTTCTCCGGCGATGCAGAAAGGAATCTTTGTCTCCATGCCTGTACTTGTTCTCACCGTTTCCTTTGTAGCTGCTGTCTTCTTCCTCCTCTCTTCTTCTTTCTCCTCTTGCTCCTGTCCTGAAGCTTTATCTTCTTCCCCGACCGACGCCGTTGAAGCTTCTGTCGGTGGAAGCGGTGGTGATGTGAGATTTGAGGACAGGATATCTCCGACGCAGGATGATATTGAGTGGGTTAGAGATCTGATTAGATCCAACGGTTTGCATATGCAGAAGAATGAGCTTCGTAAAGGGATTAATCCTCGCACTAGAGATCAACAACTTGCAGATCTGATACAGTAATCACCTTCTCAAAAAATCTTTTTTTTTTACTTCCTCTCTATTGTCTGAGCTTCAAGCTCCTTTATTGTTGGAAACTTGAGTGGCTAGTAATTGTCTTCAGGTTCCATTTGATGTTAGCTTAGTGCTTAAAGTTTGGTTATTGCTAAATCCATCTCTAAATTTCGGAACAAAAAGATGGAATTGAAGATATATGTATGTGAAATTCACTAGCTATATGGCTTCATTCCTCTTTAAGTGATTAGAAAGTGACATTGTTCTCAGCTTTTGAATCCATATCTGTGAGGTAATCTGATTGCTGCTTAAAGATTTAGCTGTGGATTGTATTGTTGTTATAGAATTGTTTCATCAATGTAGGCTCTTTGATGAGATCCTATTACGTTCTGCTCTTTTCTTGATTCTTAATAGTCACTGACTTTGCTTAACCAGTAGTTAAATAATCATTTCCCGTTCTGTTTTTATAATCTGAAGACTTGAGCTTTCTCTGTGTTGGAAAATCAGGTACAAGGGTATATCCCATTACGAAGGAGATGAAGCAAACAACCACACAGCTCTTCCATGTCCTGGTGAGTTACTAGTTGAGCAGCATCACAGCAACTATGGTGAACCTTGGGCAGGTGGGCGCGATGTATTCGAGTTCTTAGCTGAATCATCCAGTCTTAAACCAAACTCTCGTGTTCTAGAAATTGGATGTGGCACGTTACGCGTGGGTTTGCATTTCATTCGCTATCTTAGTCCCCAACATTTTCACTGCCTTGAAAAGGACGAGCTTTCTCTAATGGCTGCTTTGAGGTACGAGCTTCCATCACAAGGACTTCTACATAAACGACCTCTTATAGTCAGAGGCGATGATATGGAATTCAGCAAGTTTGGTTCAGATACAGCCTATGATCTGATATACGCAAGTGCAGTCTTTCTCCACATGCCTGATAAACTCGTGTGGACTGGACTCGAAAGATTAGTAGACAGGTTAAAACCTTACGACGGGAGAATCTTCGTGTCACATAACGTAAAGTTTTGTTCACGGTTAGGACAAGACAAGTGTTCTCAGAAGCTAGCAAGTTTAGGACTTGAGTATCTTGGAAAACAAACACATGATAGCTTGCTGTTTAATCACTATGAGATCTGGTTCGGGTTTAGACGGTTTAAAACATAAAGCCGCCAGTTGAAGTATTATCTTGAGTGTGTTTCGCTTTTCTCTACACGCCATTGCTCTCCATTGTCTGTAGATTGGATCAAGACTTGAAGAAGGTTCAGAAGTTGTTTTGGTGAACAAAAGGAAAGAATCTCTACAAAAGCTGTGGATTAGAAAGTTTGTTCTGTATCAGTTACTTTAATTTTTGTGTTTGTGGTCAGAGAGATACATGTATTGTTAATATACAGTAGTAGCCAAATGATATAAGAGATGAGGCTAGATTCTTTTGTTTGTAACCAAAGACAAATTCTTTTTCATATCTTAAAACTTGTTACTACTTGTTTGTTTGCCAGTAATTTGACATAATCTCAACAATAATACTGCAAAAAAAAAGAAAATTTCACCTGATATTAGCATTCAAGAGACAAAGACATGTCCTAAAGGATCACAGTACCATTTTCTGCAACAAGAAGTAGAAAATACGACATACTAGAAGAACTAAGACCATCAGACCCACAAATATAGACCACCCTCAATCTATGACAATGGGGAATTCTTTCCTTGACCCATCTCTATCTTCAACCTCATCAGTGTTACCACAATCCTCACTTTGGTTTTCTGTTTCTTCTGCTTCACTACGGATAGAGTGATCAGGCTCGAGTGTGCAACTGGGGATAGCAGCAGGGATAGCAACTGGGGATTCCCTCTTTCTCATCTCCATTCAACCTAAATGACGGCACTCTGTGAGAGAATCTTTGCATTTCCTCCGGTGTGATCATGAAAGAGATGACTCCATGCTGCACAGCTTGTTTATAGACCGATGCAAATCCCTGAACCTTTCCTAAATAGGCCACTCCAACGCCTAGAGAATCGTCGAAGCTGACTAGAACTTCCACAAAGTCGTACCTATAAGGAGTCTTGTGCTGTTCCGGGTCATTGTTCCAGCTTTTGCTCCAGTCTCTGAAAAGAGCCCACGTTTCGCCTTTACTCGGATTCACAGCGATGAAGTGTTTGCCACGTATGATGGGATGTATCTCATGAGAAAAGGCCAAGTGACTTTGTATGGTATCTGTATTCTCCCATTTGAACCTGCCGCAAGCAGCAAGAACAGATTCCTCAGCTTTAGGTTCTAACCATGTCACTTGAAGACTCGACTGACACTTGTTAACTTTCTTGATCCGACCATAACACCTAGGCATAGAGTCTATACCATCATACAGAGCCCATACTTGACCAGCCATGAAAGAGCTCATTGTCTTGCGGAAATCATTGAACTCTGAATCAACAACACACATTACTGGCTCATGATCCTCATCATTTTCAACTGTGGAGACAACAATTCTTCAATATCTTTTTCATGTGCTTCACTTATTTGCACAGAAGCTGAAAGTACAGAAGCCGAATCTTTTTCCTTGTCTTCATCATTATGGTTGCGTTGTTGTGTAAGAGGCTCAGCATCCACCGAAGGTCCATCTTGTATTGATCGTTCTTGTACTTGTCTCTGTTTCAATTCCAGCTCTTTCTCCTTCTCTTCAAGTTCCTTCTCCTTTAGGTCGAAAAACTTTCTCTTAGCTTCCACCTCTCTGGCTAATGCTTCTTGTATCAGTTGAAAGTTCTCTTCTTTCTCCTCCAACACAATCGATTTCTGTTGGATGGTCTCATTAAGCTACCTAAGCTCATTCTCCCTTGCTTCAAGTTGCTTAAGAGAAGTTTCAATCAGCTCAGTCTCCTTTCTCATTCTCTCAGACTCTGTACAGATTTCTTCTGAAGAATCTTCCTTCTGAATCTGCTCTAAATCAGAAACCCTAAATATTCAAAAAAAATCAAAAGAAACGAACAAATTAGAAAACAATCTGTCATGAAAAGTAAACCATACTCAGACATTCATGTGAAGAAATATAAACACACAACAGTAAACGGAAGTTTTCAGAGTAAGAAGAACTGAAAAAAAACCAGAACAAAAAAAAAAAAAGCAAACCTTTCTCGAGATTGATCTTCAGTTTGTGCCGGCACCGATTCCTTCTCCGGCGTCTCGCTTCTCAAAGTGAAAAGTTGTGGATTTTCCGGTTCCATTACTGGTTGCTGTAAGAGTTGAGTTTTTGAGCTCTAGAAAGTAGAAAGACTAAGAAAGTTTGCTTTTTAATTTCCGGTGAACACAGAGCAATTTTGAAATCAAATTTGAAAATAAGAGAGAGAGATGATGATTAATTGATTGATGTTTACTGAAAATAGGAAAATGGAGGGAGGAAGCTCAGAAAAAGTTTGTAACATATATCGGGACAAATATGTACGTCAATTGATTTACAGCCGTTGGATTAAAATACTCCTAACCGTTGGATTCCTCTCTAATGATTTTGTTTGACCAGACTCTCTAATGACTTTGTAGCCGTTCGATTTCGTTTAAGGGATGAGAATCACGAGATGCCATGGAAGGGGCTTGGTTTTCGTAAATGGTCACTTAAAGGGCTTCATAAGATGAATAGGCCCATTATATTTTAGTTAAAAGAAAAATAGTAAGCCCAATAGTATTTTTTTGGTCGGAGCCCAATAAGAAAACAAAATGTGGCTAGTATGAAACATTCTTCTTGTGAAAAAATTTAGAAATCCAGTGGTAATAATTGAGAAATTGAAAGACGAGAACAAAATTTGAGAAATTAAAAATAAATATTGTGTTACTTGGAATGTCTAGGATAAGCGAATGGTATATTTTAAAATATTAATTTTAGGTGTAATATATTTTATATTGAGGATTAAGTAACATAATTATATGTACGCTAGGATGTGATTGTAGGTTTGATTTTGTTCAAGATATGACTTGTTTTTTGGGATTAATGATCTTGTAGATTAGTCGTATGTTTAATGTGAGGAGAAAAAAACCAAAAAAGAAAATCATGTAAATGAGAATCGGAAAAACATATAAATCCGAGAGAATAGTGGAGACCGATGATGATGAATAGTCGTCGTAATAAATAAGTGTAACATCCATGATCCATCTACTCGTTTATGTACTTGATCTAAAGAAACAAAAGTTAATTATTAAAGAAGTTAAATAGTGATAAATGAATAAAACAAATTGAGGGGAAAGAGATAAAAAGGTTAGAGGAAAATGACAAAGAATTATTAAAGGAGATAGGGACTGGTGAGGTGATCAAATTTAAACCCTAATAATAGGACAAGCCACTAAATTACTCTATTTTATAAAATAAATATTTTGAGTAGAAACAAGCTGTTGTCCATAGATGTTGACCGCCAAACTCTAATGCTTCCAAATCTTCATTTATCATATTTTTGCTATAAACCTTTAGTATTTTACAAGCCACACGCCTCTCCATATCCTTTTTGTTACCTATATATCTAACTCGGAACTCTTCAAATATTTATATATTTCATACAGGTTATGTCTATCGTCACTCACATATGCACATACAGGCTTGTGTTGAATATGGTCATGTGGATGGTGATACAATGATGCTACTCTTAACAAAAGCATCTAGAAAAATATAAGTCTCAGTCCGTCAGTCGTACACATACTGTTTTTGGATGTTTTACTTTTTATTGTTCTAATAAAAAATCAATTATACTGTTTTTCCTAGTTGACTAATTTTCAACATTATTTACCTTACTGTTTTCATTTCATTAAACGTTTTACCGACACTGCTTTATTCTAATTAAACATCTTATATATTACCGACATTACTTTTTAGATGAAATTTCACGAGCGAGATCGTGACACTCATCACAATTAAACAGCTTAGAGAGAGACAGAGCTAGAGTAGGCAATAAGAAGCACGTTGAAAAGCAGCTATTAGACATTCCAGCATCCAATCGTCTCACTCAACTAAACATTCACTAATTCTTGTTTAGTATGCATGTACAGTATTGCATATTCTTAAGATACATTTGATACAATTATTAAGGACCATGCATACATGGTTTTATTGATTATTGACTAGCTTGACACACTTCTTTCAGTCCAGTTATTTAGCAGAGTGATTCTACCGTTCTACGTAACTCATAATTAGAAGAAAAAAAAAACGAGAAACAAAATTAGGAACATTTTAGATAACTGGTTTTATAAAGTTAAAGCTATCGGTATAATTACTAAAAATAGTCATATGCTTTTTCCCCTTTTAATTACCAATCTAATTTACTTGACATAATTACACTTAGCTAATTTTTTGTCGTTATTTGGCAAGAGTTATCAACAATGACATAATGATAGACAACACTCTACACAAATTTAAATGCTTTTTCCCGGCCCATAGTTTTTAAAAGTTATTCCACGAATAAAATTGACACATGATCTAATTAAGAAAAAGACTAGCCTACTCCATCTAATTTGCACAATTAAACTAATTGGTACTATTATTTTTATACAAAATGTTGAAATCTAATAATTGTTACTATATTTTTCAACTCGAATAAGCATAGTATTGATCAAGAATATACTAAATCTTTTAACAAAATTCTTTTCTTTTTCCTAGATTTTCTTAATAGAAAATATTCTCTCTTTTTTTGTTAGTGACACTTTGAAATAATATCATTTTTATATAAACTAAAAGGTTTTTACAAAAATTAAAGTAACAATTTGTTTTTTTTAAATAATTTTTGTTTTGAGGCCCACCCATGACCCAACAGTGATCACACACACACACACACACCTCCCTACTCATCCCTCAACGCGTCCAAACTTATGCGCGCACGTTACCCCAGACTCTTACCGACGCTAAAATACGCAGATATTCCTTATCCTCCACCTCTTGGCGGAATATATATCTTTTTGTTTCTTTTTAAGCCTTTTGTTGTTTATCCCAGTTTTTTTTTGTTTTTAATCACTCAACCATTAAACCCCATTTTGATCTCTAGTTTTTTAAAAGCAGGAGATTTTCCTTTTCCCAGAAAAGAAATTTCCCAAATCAAAGTTTCGAGCTTTCACTTCTCGACTTGCAAATTCTCGTCCTTTTTACTGAATTCGATCTGGGTTTTTGTTTTTGATTAGTAAAATAACAAAAAAAAAAAAAAGGATTTATCAGAAATGGCTGCGAGCGATGAAGTTAATCTTATTGAGAGCAGAGTAAGTTTGTTGCTTCTTTTTTTTCTGGCTTTATTTCTGTTTTTTAGCTTCTAAATATATATACTGATGTTTGCGATTATTGGGTTAAATTTTATGAGTGATTTTGACATGGGTCTCTTTCGATTTCTATGTTTAATTTTGTTCTTGATGTTTTTTAGTCTTTTGCTTTTGTGTTTGCGCTTATGTTGAATGGTTTTGATTGGGTTACAAATTGAAAGCTTTAGGATCTCAAATCGTTTTAGGTGATGAAACGTGTCGTTAGTTTGATAGTCTCTGTGCTTCTCCTTGCCTTTTTCTGTCTTCTTCTGTTTGATTCTTAATATGATTGATTAATCAGATTTTGTTATTCAATTTCACACTTAACTTCAACTGACTCTTTGTTGAATTGGATTCTACTGTGTAGTGTTAAGATAAAAAAAAGTTTGAATTTTGTTTGTTGTGTTTGATAAAGACACTCCTTTGATGCTTCACTTGAATGCAAAACACTTCCTTTGTGTTACTTATATATGATAAGCCTAAGGCCTTTCATTGATCTCTCTTCTATTGGTGTTTTCTGGGTTTGATGCAGACAGTGGTTCCTCTCAATACATGGGTTTTAATATCCAACTTCAAAGTAGCCTACAATATCCTTCGTCGCCCTGATGGAACCTTTAACCGACACTTAGCTGAGTATCTAGACCGTAAAGTCACTGCAAACGCCAATCCGGTTGATGGGGTTTTCTCGTTCGATGTCTTGATTGATCGCAGGATCAATCTTCTAAGCAGAGTCTATAGACCAGCTTATGCAGATCAAGAGCAACCTCCTAGTATTTTAGATCTCGAGAAGCCTGTTGATGGCGACATTGTCCCTGTTATATTGTTCTTCCATGGAGGTAGCTTTGCTCATTCTTCTGCAAACAGTGCCATCTACGATACTCTTTGTCGCAGGCTTGTTGGTTTGTGCAAGTGTGTTGTTGTCTCTGTGAATTATCGGCGTGCACCAGAGAATCCATACCCTTGTGCTTATGATGATGGTTGGATTGCTCTTAATTGGGTTAACTCGAGATCTTGGCTTAAATCCAAGAAAGACTCAAAGGTCCATATTTTCTTGGCTGGTGATAGCTCTGGAGGTAACATCGCGCATAATGTGGCTTTAAGAGCGGGTGAATCGGGAATCGATGTTTTGGGGAACATTCTGCTGAATCCTATGTTTGGTGGGAATGAGAGAACGGAGTCTGAGAAAAGTTTGGATGGGAAATACTTTGTGACGGTTAGAGACCGCGATTGGTACTGGAAAGCGTTTTTACCCGAGGGAGAAGATAGAGAGCATCCAGCGTGTAATCCGTTTAGCCCGAGAGGGAAAAGCTTAGAAGGAGTGAGTTTCCCCAAGAGTCTTGTGGTTGTCGCGGGTTTGGATTTGATTAGAGATTGGCAGTTGGCATACGCGGAAGGGCTCAAGAAAGCGGGTCAAGAGGTTAAGCTTATGCATTTAGAGAAAGCAACTGTTGGGTTTTACCTCTTGCCTAATAACAATCATTTCCATAATGTTATGGATGAGATTTCGGCGTTTGTAAACGCGGAATGTTAACACTGGGTTAGAGAAAGAAGGTTGTTTTAACAAAGCCAAGACATCTTTCAAACTAACACACAGGTGAATGTATTGCCTGTGGATTCTCTCGTTTAGTTTTGTTTTTGTGTTTAGTATCTAAGTGTGTGGCGGTCTGCGGCAGCCTTTGTGATGACTGTTTAAACGCTGGATTCTGAAACGCTAAAGCTTGTGGAAGAACAGTGAGGCGTTTAGAGACTTGGAAAGGAACCAAGCACTAGTAAAAATTTCTCCTTTTTTTGTCTGTAATATTTGGCATTTAGCTTTTACCCTTGAGCCTTTTTACTAACTAAAAGCTGATTTTTTCAGCATGAGAGTGGTAATTAGATATCTATAAATATATATATTTCAAGAATGTAATGTTTATACACAAATTTTAGTGATTTTGGTAAATGTATGTAGGGTCTGCACTCTGCAGTTGTATTGTTGCTCCTCTTTTTCATTGTACTCTAATGGATTTTACAAAAATAAGCATTACCTGTTTTTTTTCCCCAATCTTTACTAATGGATATCTATGATATAATGTGTTTCAAAAAGCCAAAAAGGTATTAAAAGATTTTTGTTTCGACCTGTAAGGAATCTTTTGAACAAATGATGAGAAACAGCTAAAGCTTTGAGGAAACAAGAAAAACGAGAGAAATTAGTTTGTTCAGAAAGACAAATGTACAAAATAAGTGGAGTCTACCTTGATGAAGACCATATATGGAATGGACCAAGAGTATGCAAACTCATGACATGAAGAATGTGGCTATATTTGCCTTTGGATTATTAACTACTGTATGAAATTATTTCTTTTAGATCATAAAAGTTCCTGTAATAACTCCAAACAGTTAGTCATATACATGTCGAAGTTGTTTACATTTTACAAATTGGTAAAATTTCATGGAAATTTCTACCTCTTGTTTAAGAAACTTTCATAAGAACCAAAAGTCTCCTAACCTTTGCTTGCTTGCTCACAGGCCAATTCAAAAGTCCAAAAATGGCTAAAGAAAATCAATGGATGCACATATATAGAGCTCATGAAGAAAGATTCTATTTCATATTATAGTTGCAGAGACCTAAACAACATTATTTGCAAGGTAAAGGTAAAAAGCTCATATGATACTGATAAAAGCCGAATGAGATAAATGTCATGATAGTGGTTAAGTGGCAAAACCATTCTGAGACGTTTAACGAGCCCTAGCGGCATAGGCAAAAGATGCAGCAGCAAAAACCGTTGTTACAGACGAAACGAGAGTCCAGAAGGTCTGCTTCTTGTGTGCCTCTTCCGTTGATTGCTTCATGATCTCAGCTTCTTTCTTCATTTCCTCGATTATGTCCTCTTTGTTTTTGAAAGCTTTCTCTATCGACTCTAGCTCCATCGCATAGGGTTCAGTTCCAATTTCTCGCTTCTGTTCCTCACTAATCAATCTATCTTCTCGGTTCTCTAATTGGGATAGCATAGATGCAGCACTCTTTAGCATCACCATGCTGCGTTTTGCATCCATTCCAGCTGATTCTAGTTCTGTTTTCAGAGCTTCCATAGCCTTTCTGAGCTCTACAAGCTCCTTTTCGAGTTTAACATTTTCGCTTTTCAATGATTCAGATTGACTCTCCAAATCATTCTTCGCTGAAAATAAACTCTTACGCTCAATCTTAACTTTCTCAAGCTCTTCTAGAGTTTTTGCAACCATCTTCTCTGATTTCAAAACCTCTGCCTTAAGATCCTCTCCATTTCTCTTCTCCTCATCAAGTGCCTTATCAGCTTCTTCTCTCCTGAGCTCAACTTGCGCAAGAGCATTGCTTAGCT